CCTTTAGTTGACTACTCTTCGTCTTAAGTTATGTCAAAAGCCTCACATGGTACCTGAATGGAGAATGTTGCAAGACTGGCATGTTGAAAGGACTCTTACCTTTTTATTTCACTACTCTGTTTCCATATCTGTCCACACCCTCAGGGGTGCTCCCTATTGCCTGGTACTGATGCATCTTGTTATTTTTGCCACCTACAACTCTTTAGTCTTGCAAACTGCTTGAATGCAAAGTCCCTAAATACCCTTTTGTGGGAGATGATTTTACAATATCTCCCCACCCTGGAGCAATGTAAGAAATAAATTATAAACTCTATAAGACATTTTGCATGGCAACAGTGCTCCAGAAAAAGAAAAAAAAAGGAAAACAAACAAACAAACAAAAAGTCTAATTTGGCACTTCCAAGGATGTTGCTGAATCTTTCCCCACGCTAATGCAAAGCATACATTCTTACTGCAGTTTCACGAAATCATCTTGGTCACTGCTCCATAACAGAATGGAAAAGGGCAGTCGAATGGCCAAAGGAAAGAAGAGGGCAAGTATTGAGCTGGCTTTGAGCTCCCCCTGGAGCTCAAGGGTTGTTTGCTTTTGGCTGACCTCAAAAATAGCAGATGAAACAGCTGAGTTGGAGCTCTTGATACAGCACAACAATATACAGCTTTATAGTGAGCTTGAGACAAATAAGGAAATGGGAAATAAGAACTAAAAAGTAAGAGGAACTTTTAATGAGTTAGGATAGCTGGCGAATTAAATATAATGATCCTGGCTCATAACTATCAAATTTCTGCATTTCTGTTGATGCCTAGTGCAGTTTTCTTCTTTAAAAAGTCCTGGGCTTTTGTTTTATGATGTCCTTCTCAGAAGTTCAAGCACTTGTTTCCTTCAACGTTGCACATAACCCAGAAACTTTATGTCTCAAATATCCAGCTATGCAGGTGGTTTTGGGAAATAAATCAGTATTTTACATCCATGGTGAATTCTCTATGCTTTCATTTGACATTAGGAAAAAAAAAGTGCATGAAGGGTCTCTTCCCTCTTCCTTACTTCTTTGGTACTTGTGGAGGGCATCAGATTTCCTAAATTTTGTTTCCACTGAAGCTCTACTCCCATGGTGTGGGCTGTGAGGCACATACAGAACACAGAGATGTTTTGCCCACGTGGAGCATATACAAAACTTTATTTTCATTTATCTGACTGAGACAGGGAGACCATGAAATTCTGCAGACATGGCTGTGCACATACAGGCTGCATCTTTAATCCTGTATGCAGAAGAGGTGGTGGCTTGTGGAGACATGGCTGATGTTCCAGTGAACAGGCATGCTGTGGTTTCTTTCCTTCCCCCTTCAAATTGTGAGGAACTTGAAATCCTGTAAGGTATGCAGACAAGGAGGGGTTGTACGGCACCCAAATAACATGGGTAGACTGAACTCATGTTTGCTGCTGCTCAAATGCACCCACTTGAGCATTGCTCTGCCTCCCCAGTGCACCCTGGAATTAGTAACACCAATGCCTCAGCAGCAATGCTCCCCACTTGGAACTCAAACTGCAGGCAGTGCTGACTGACATGCTCAGACAGTCAGGGAATCTTGGCATAATAATTTTCTCTTCAGGATTATAAACTGCCTCAAAGAGGAGTCTGTGCTTGCAGGCAGGTCAGCAAGGCCCAGGTACAGAGCTCAGGAAGTGTTTTCTACCCCTCTCGATACCAGGGCAGAGCCAAACTTCCAGGGAGGGCCTGAACAAGGTCAGTCTCTGGTTACACCTTGGGCAGTAACTGACCTAAGAGTTCCACTGAGGTTACCTGAATCAAAGAAAAACTACTGAGGGTTATTAGGTTGTCATAGCATCTTGGCACACTGAAAGAAATGTTTTAAGGAAAGTAACTCTGGAGAAGACAGTTCTGGGCAATGTGTTGGTATTTGAGGCTCCTTAATCTAGATGTGGCATTTGTTATCATGTAGGTCAGCTATGAAACATGCACAGGTATCTCCTGCCATATGCTGTTATCATCTGTGTCTCCTTTCTCCCGGCTAGTGGCACAATCCCAAGGAAGGTAAACTCCATAAGCAGTCCGATCTGAACTGTAAAAAGTCACCAGTACAGCCTAGAGAGGACTGGAAAAGGCAGAATGTGTTACAAAGTTTAAATTGTGGTTTAGGACTTCAGGATATATTCTTTTCTATAGAACATTTAATATTTAGTGTAGGTTTAAAACCCCTCCTATCTTTCTATTATCTTTCACCAGGAATGGGTATGAACATCAATGTTTTCTTTTAACAATTCTAATAATTAATCTCCTTAAGGATTTTGCAAAGATCCCAAGTGGTCTCTATACCTATCCCTATCACACTTTGCAGAAGGTGACACGATACACGCCCTACAAGAGTGTGCTGTATCTCAGAGGTGACAGTTTCTTTTGTCAGCAACAGAAAAAGGCTACAGCTCTTTCCACTGAAGTCAAATGCTACAGAACTCTACTGCCTTTACACCAGCATTGCAAGAGAAACAATGGAAGAGTCTAGGGAAGATACAGGGATTTTCCTATCTTCTGTAGCTGCTCATTAAATACATGTCAATATACATGTTGCGGCTTGTTTTATACACCTAATATACATTTATATACCTTCTGCTAGATGCTATATGTTCATGTGTTTCAGATTAACTTAATGTTTATGGTTAATAGATCACTTCTTAAACATACAAAAAGGTAAATAACACTAAGCCAAAATATTAAAGTTCTTCCACAACAATCATGGGATCATCATAACTTATATACTCCTGTATATACATTTTTTAGAACAGAAGCCTTGAGAAAATCCTACTTGTACAGCTTTCAAGACATGTCAGTTGGGCATTTTCCTCAGTCTAAATCAAGTTTTTAAGTGAAGGCAGGCTTTATTGCTTTCAAATTTAAGGAGACAAACTGGTATCATTAGAGATCAGCATGCCCTAACATGAACAACATCGTCAGACATAACTCCCCAAAAATGCTATATATAGCTACCCAAGTACTAAAGAAGCTACATCACAAGCGTGTTGGAATCCATTCTTTTAATTTATTCTGCACTTGTATTCAATATACAAATACAATCACTTAAATGCTGAACATAATAAGTTAAAGCCACTGTTAAAACAGACTTTGACTTTTTATACATAGGCTTGACTAGTTTCACTGGAATTAGGGCTGTTTTTCCAGCAGTGAACCTCCTGGGTTGAACCACCTGGTCACACCATCAAAACTGTTCTGGTTGTTTATGATTACTGGAGGAATTATATGCTCTGTGTTTTATAAGTTCATCATATTTCGCATTTATAAATTCATCAAATTTGAGATCAGGGCCTGTGCACAGAGTATCTCTCTGAAGTACTGGTCAACCTCCCAGACAGCTGTGGTAGAGTACTTCTACTGCCCCTAAACTGACCTTAACCCCATCTCTGCATCTTCTGCACATCTACACGCAAGGTTTAATGCTGGAGGTTTTAGATGAGGAACAGAACCCAAACATGAAAATTGTCTTATCTTCAGTCACCTCTCCCACACACATACAAAGCACCTAGTTAAGTGCCAAAGAGTAAAGTGTCATATTACCCAAACCCCTAAAAAAGTAAGTTTTTAAAAGAAAAGTATTAGTCATATAAAAATAATTTTGATGTGTCTATACACATGCTATTTGTCTAGCAAAACGAGATCTCTGCCATTATTGGGTAATTTGTTCAGAAGTCACTTCTGGATAAATATATTCCTAAGTGATAGAAATCTATACTACGCATTGTCTCCCATTTCTTCTGCATAAGCAAAATATAGGTTCTTATACTTTGTCCTTGCCTCTGCTTTCCTACCTAGATGGCTCTACCTAGATTGTCCACTAATTGAGGAGAAGAATGCAACAGTGGGAGAAGAGGCTCCAATATTGTGGCTTTCTTGGTTCTGATGTACTCCGATTAAAGAACAGGTCTTCCCTCTCCATCTACAGCTATATAAAAATAATATCAATTTCAGCTTCAAATAAATACATTTGATATTGGACATCTTTCTTCTAGTTCTGTATTGGTGTATAACTGAAATTTTTATTAGAAGTATCAATATACAAAAATACACTAGCAATTTTTTTACTTTAGATCAAGTTCTTTCTTCAGTTTTTCTGTGCTTCACCAACTTGTCTTTACTGAAAGCAGAAAAAGCCATTTCACTGAATACTAAATAAGGATAGATACTGTATATGTGTCAGAACCCTTAAAAGGGGTGTTTGGAACAATTACTTCTGCAGTGCCTGGTGTTATACAAACATCCTCCAGTAAATGTCTTGTGCTCCCTCTGACCCATTTCTCCAGCACTGAAGTGCCTCTGTGCAGATTTAAACTGGGCTTTTCACACAGAGGCAGTATTTTTCTCTACATACATCTGTACCACAACCCCTCCATTAGTCAGTCCCAGCAGCTCTAAAAAGAGAAGACATGAATATGCAAATTCACTGCACATGTAATCTTTGTAGCTGGGAAGAAAAAATAGGCTACACTTCAAACAGTTTCCTCTACAATCATGTCATCATTCATCCCACAGAGCAGCATTGCCAGAGATTTCATAATTGCCTCTGTACCAGCACTAGAAAAGAGAACATTCTGGCAGAATTCCTTAGTGTCCTTGGTGGTAGAAAACCACCTCATGAGCTTGCAGTACTTTGGCAGACACGAGGAAGGTAGAAAAAAAAGGGAAGACTAACCAAGGGGTTAAAAGGGAAATGCAGAATAACATGGAGTAAACATTTTCCACCCAGGAAGACACCAAAGACTATTTGATGCATTGTTTTTCAGTCTTGAATAGTACTAAATACCTTAAAACATGAAGCAGGTTGAAAAAGCCCTCACTATATTTGGTATTATGTTTTTTTCTACCTCTATGATTGAGAAATGAGAAAGAAAAGTCCTTGCTATTCAGAATTCAGCTACTGTGGTCAGTGTCAAAAAAGCCAATATTGCAGAGGACTTGCATCTGAATTTTTGTTTTTCTGAGAGTCCATTACCTGTCCCTGGATTTTATGTATACAACTGGCTCCACAACGTCAGGGATCCAAGATACTTTCCCCAGCTCCTACAGAGTTAAACTTGCCACTGTGAGCAGTGACAAAGCACGGAAATAACTACAATGTCACCTAAGCAAATGATACATATCAACATTAAAGACTTGACATCAGATTTTGAAAAGAATTCATGTTCCTACTCGGAGAGAGTTATTTTTTAAATGCCCTTGCTATGTATCTATTGGAATCACTAGATTGATGAATATCCCTGAAATCTGCACCTTAAAAAAAGCCCCTGTTATCCTTCAGCAGATCTGAGCAATTCTGCAGCTTGAGCTTTGGCCTTCACGTTTGCTCACGTTTTAAAATGCTAATTTATTACAAAGATCAATCTGTCAATCTAGGGGCAATACCACAGAACACTCCACAGCACCAGAACTCTGGCAAGTCTGTGCTGTTATGGCTACAGCCACATCGATCTCTGAAGCAAACGAGTGGCTCTTTCTGTGGCTTTTGTAATTCCAGGGTTTGTGCTTAAAGAAACATGAAGAAACACCCCCAAAAACCCAACCAAACGAACCCCCCCACACACACACTATTACATGCAAATTTAAATGTAAAAAAAAGTTTTAAATACAGGGTATCACTGAAGATCCATTAGAAGTTTGCTATTTTGACAACTGTGTGATTAAAAGCCCACAAAAAAACCTATGGAAAGACATCTGATGACCTAAATGAGCTTTGGATAAGCTGTAAGGGCATTTCTTTATCCACTGAGACTGTTATATACAACAGTAAATAAATTACAGTTACAACATTGAAGAAATGCCAATAATGAACACTTATTTTTACTCTCAAGAACAGATAGCTTTCTTATGAATAGTATCATTTAACAACTTAGCTATGTAATATCCATATGATAAATCAAAGCAGATTTTAAAAACAAATTACAGATGCAGCTGAACAAACTTTAAAGAAAATAAAAAAAATTTAAGATATATATATATATTACAACATTACATCTTCAATGAGATGCTGCCTGTACAGCAACCTGCACCATCAAAATCTTGAGCACCTGGTTCCCAAAACTGCTGGAGAGAGCTGAGCTCACACTGCATTTTTCAAGCCCCCCCCACACACATCTTGTGCTTTCTACTGAGGAAGCTGGGGGTTTAGAGATTCAGGCTGCTCCTCATAAAAGCTGCAGACTGCTGAGCAGCAAAAAGCATCTCGCACTGTGCACTGGGAATGTATAACAATTATCACATCAAAAAGCACTTGATAAAGTTGTTTGGATCCTCAACACAAAGGTTCAGGTGTCATTCAGGAAGAGTGTTGCCTCGATTTAGTAGGTAACCTACGCTAAGTAAAACAACATAATCTGATTGCAAGGAATACACAGGCTTTTAAGTCACTGTTTGTCTACGTTTTGAGTGCCTTTTTGAGGTCAGAGTAGAAATTGGCCAGGGTACTAGACATAGCAGTGTCTACTGCAGACTGTGGTAGCATCCCTCGCAGTTCAGTCTGGATGTAGCCTGTCAAAAGACTGTGACCAGGACAGTCCTTGAGAGGGACGCAGAACCAACCGCAAGGGTGATTGAATCCACGGACAAAGTTTGGTCTCACCTCTCCATAGTCCAGGCTTATACCTATCAAGGAAAATAAAACAAATCAACAGAAAGGGAAATTAATTTGAGAAAGATTAAAAAAAAATAATAATGTGCAGTAAATTTGAAATATATAAGCTTCTGGCCGGGGAATTTAGTAGTGATGACAGACGCACTACAAGTTTTTGGGTATTTTCATGCAAGGAATTTGTTGTTCATCCAAACTCTCAGACAGACAGGAGAGTATGATAGCCAAAAATTCAAACGTTAAGAAGACATTCCTCCCATTTACTAGAAGCAAGTTGTTGCAGTTTGTTCTAAGACCTGAGCTGGAGGACTCAACTTGTCTCTAACACCCCTGCCCCACAGCTGGCATAAGTGAAACCTGGCACAATGGAATGGTTCATGGGTAAACCAGTAACTTGCATATTTCTGTAAGTATGAAAAACACCTTTAATTTGTTAAAACACCTTGAATTTATTTGTAGAAGATCATCTCAGACCATTTTTTAAATTTTTACTGCTACTAAATCTGAATCAAATCTTAAACCAAGCAACTGTTGCAAAATAAGAATTCAGCAGAGGCAGGTGGTGGCTTACCACATGTCAGAAGCCCATCTTCATAGCTTGTGGTGTAAGAGAAATCAACAAACTCCCTTGGTGCTATAATGTTCCAGAGCTGGCCAGCAGTTGTATAGCGCATCACACAGCAGTTCTTGTCGAGTGACAGAATTATAAGGGCAAGAAAATAAATATATTTTAGTATAATGAATACAGGAAAACTTACTGCTCGCAGGCAGCTAACATTTTTCACGAAGGTCACAGCCTCTGTCAACTACCCTGCAAATTCAGTGAGGTCTAAATGGCTGTGCCATTCTCTACCTAAAAGCTAGAACTTGTAAGGACTTGTGGCCTACAACTGAGAGCTGTGAGAGCAGAGAATATCTGGCACCATAAAGATTTAAAGATCTAAAGCTAAAGAACTCTGGCGTGTGAGAGAACTGAAAGCCACATGGCTCTTATGTTGCCAAGGAGCATTTGGGAAGTCTAAAAGGGCCATGAAGAAATTTCAAGAGGAATCTCTTGGTACTAAGATACTCTATCAATACTTTCAATCCACTAACTGAAAAATAAAACTGAATATGAACAATCCTTCAAAACAGGTTTTCTTACAATGCAGAAGAGTCTTTATAAATTTTACACAAAGTATCTTGTCATATAAATCTTCCTTCAGAGACAGAGCAAAAGACAATCCATCTCCAAGCCAGGTGTCCAGATGAGGGTTTTGAATTCACACTGAATGTCTGCATTAACCAAAGGAAGGCTACCAGCTGTTCTGTAACCAGCTTCAAACCTACCCTTCTTTTATCAAGTCCTGACCCTCAGTATGAATTATTTTGTGTCTCAGCACAAAGCCATGCCACATAAGTCAGCCTTTCAGGAAGAGGCTGCAGCTTCCGTATGTGTGGACTATTACTATTGTTTGTTGTGGAAAAAGAAACAAAGAAAGCAAGCTGTATAAAACGGCTTTTGCATACACAGATTCACACTGTAGCCCTCTGTGTGTGAATTTTATCAGAGGCTACCAGAGCTCCCACGTCCAAGAGAATTGTGACTGACTCCTTTATTTTTAGCATTAATGGAAAGATGAACTTCAAGCTTCAGAACAAGACTATGCTGCCAGAGTGCTTGATCTGTGGTCACACAGAGCATGTAAGCATAATGCTGCTCATGCATGCAAAAAAGGCTGAAAAAGGTTCACCTCTGTAGGAATTGCTCTGCTCTACATGAATGTTAAATTCATGAATTCTAAATTCATGTATTCATCAATACACATTTCCCCCAAGAATCTAAACAAGTCTTCACCTCTTCAAATGTTTCCATGATGTCCATTGAAGTCATTAGGCTGTCCCAGTCTAGCCTGTAAGGTCCAGGGCGAATATGATCCACTATTCTGTTAGTAACATCTTCCACCACTCCTTGGGCTTTGTAGCTAGAAAAACGTGTTTACATTTAGTAAGAAATTCTTTATATTCCATTAATTTTCAACAGTACACTTACATTAACACCTTGGTACCAGGAAGAACAGTCGGTGGACAACTGCATCAGAGAAACAGTACAGGAAAAGACCCATGGGTGCATCTACCATTTTTCTCTGCAAGAAATTTTCTTCTGAAAAAAACTGTCCTTTTTTTATACAGTTAATATTTGATAAAGGGCAAAATTCCTTCCTTGGATAAAAACTATACTGTTTATTTCCCTAAGAACTGTAACAATTTGTTATTTTACTCCTATTGCTGGGCTAGCAATGGAGCTCACCAAAGGTGAGTAAACCCAAAGTAAAAAGGAGATCAGGAATGTCATGGGAAAAACATTTTTCATAAAGCATAAGTAAAAGGATGTTGGAGACTGAAATGATATGGTTTATAAACATTTTTATGAAGGACTTTTGCCTATTATAGCAAAACTGTATAACAAAAGCTGCAAAGAAGCATCCTAAATGGGCCTCCAGACTGAGGCCCTGGACTGTAAGAAGATTTGAGATAAGATAAAGTCACTCAGGTGTGGGCTGGGGGAGAAAAATACTTTTACAGGATTTCACAGGTGGAACCCCATCACCAAGATGGCTAGATTGAGGGGAGCAACGAGACATCATTGGGACACACAGAGGGCTAGTATGTTTGTACTTAACCTGCTTCTATCACTCTCCCTGTCCTCCCAAACACACATCCCTTTCTCTATTTCTTTCTTTTCCTTCCTTTTTCTTTGCCTCTTTTACTATTAAATAAAATGTATCAATTTTTTCAGTATCAACATCTAGCCTTGTTTGGATTTAATCAAGTTTTGGGGAATATTTGAATGTTTCTAGGTTCATACTGATTTATTCACTTCTCTTCACTCCTCTATGATTGGAGGAGATCCATAACACGGGAGTAGAACCAAGCTAATCAGAAACTAAATTATGCTTTAGTGGCATATGATTAGCAAATAAAATAATCTGGTACATGACATTACAGAACATTCATATGTAATTAGGTATTTTACTAGACACCAGAGTTTTTTTTTCTTGACTTATTGGGCCTCCAAATCCTGAAGAGGAAGAACCCATCAAAATCTCTACTTTCCAAATACTTTGTATTCATTAAGATGTTCTTATTGATAGCAAATAGTCAAGCAACAGATTCACCTCTTCACTTGTGCAGTTCACTCATATTCACTCGACATCATCTGTATACTTATCTGTATATCTGATATCTGTATATCATCTGAGCCCATCTCAGCTGTATACTTGGAACTGGAGGACCATGTGAACATGTCAGTGGCTTCCACGCAGGTGTCTGGAAGCCTCTTCAAAGTGTCCTTTAGCTCCCCAGGTGCAGAAACAACCCTGGGGTCTTCTCTTGCCCACAGCAGTCACTGCCTTCCTGGCAATGGCTCAACTACACAACCTGCAGGTGGCCAGTGGGCCCGTGGAACTGCACCAGGTCAGCACATTCTGGGTGTCTGGGGCCATCAGCTCTTGCAGATTCAACAGGAATCTCCATGAGGTGTATCAGTCTTTGAGATTATTTTAAACACTACCTTTTCACCAGGATTTTTTGTTCCTTCAGAACGCTGTTTTCTAGTAACTATTTCTCTACCTAAACCTATAGATACCAATAGGACCCGGTGACAGAAACTCACACAGGGAGGGCCCTCGTGCCACACAAACAACCCCACACAACCCTCTCACAACCCTACACTTGGTATTTTGAAGTCATACAGTCACTGCAAGAGTCCAAGGACTGACTCAGCTGTCATCCAGGGACCTTTAAGGCCTACTGAATCCAGGCTTGATTCTGATTTTTACAAGCCATCATTTCTGGGCAAATGCTGCTGCCACTTCAGTCAGTGGAGTCCTGTGGTGTGTTCCACAGACTTCACTGTTATTCTAGACACCATGCAATGTTAAACTATCAAACTATAAAGCTAGAAAGGAAATGTACAGCCACAATAGCTTCCCTTCGGGAAGATCTGTGTAGCTGAGGGCTGTAGAATTCAGAGTATTAATTTCTAAATTCTACAGAACAGATCTGTGGAACATTAAAAATGTATCTCCTGTGCAAGCAAACTTACAGGTATCCACTGAATTCCTCTGAAGGTTTACGCCACACAGTTGCATCTTTCTGAAAGAAAATATAAGACACAACGTTAACTGTCACTTGCATACAATTACAAGAAGTCCAGAAAATGCTTAAGTTTTCTTGAAGGAAAGCAGCAACTTTATCATTACTCATGGTTCACCTGGGCACCACTATGCTTTTCTTCAGATTTTTCAGATACCTTTTACTTGCAATTTTCTACTATTTCAAAAAAATCAGAAAATTGGCTTTCTCAGAGTCAAATGCAGTCTGTGCAGAAGTACTTTGGTAGGCCAAGTCAGTTGACTGTGAAAACACATAGAATAACAGAACAACATTAGCAGGGAAAGCCTTTCAATTGCAAGGCCACTGGAAAGCCAATAGCTGGATGCTACTCAGACAGGAAGACCACACCACTTCTGTTTGCACTCCTGTAACACAAGTTACAGAAGCATGCAGGAGATGCAGGCTCAGACAAGAAAGTTCAATTACTTTTCTCTCCCAGATGCCTGACTAGAGGAGTCTTGCAAGCAGTAGTCTATTTATTTTAAAGATACACAGAGAAAATAGAGAAACCGGTATCTTCTGATTATTACCTAACTATGAAATGGAACCTCTGTACAAAATCTCTGAATTTTGGTGTTGAAAAGAGTTCCATATGGCACCACTTTATTTGGAATCATAATTATATAAGCACAAAGGACCAAATGTCCTGAAGAACAGTACTGCTAAGTACCACATACAGAATCACTTAAGATATTTTGGGCCACAACACATCTCCTTGTGGTAGGTAAAGCTCTGAATGTCTTTTACACGGCACAACACTAAAATGGAAAGAAAGGAGAAAGGAAGGAAAGGTGAGAGGAAGGAAAGCCTGTAGGGAAGGGTAAAATCTGAGGATTTGAATGCAGATAGCATTTTAAAGGAATACAGTAGTACTTAATATAACAACACAGGAATACTAATACAGGAATAGACAACATTTTGTAGAGCAGATGTGGTTATAGGCATAGTGCAAGAGTGAAAGGCTTGGATGATCCGTTCCTCCCTCTCCAGACACCGAAACTGTTAATTTCACAAATAATCAAGTTACATTTGGATCACTTGCCTCTGTCTTATCAATGTCTGCTCATGATGGAAGAAAAAAATAAAAGCCCTACTCAAACCACTGTAACAAAAAGACAAGGATAGGAGTTTACCACACTAGTCCTACCATACTGCCACACTTCTGCTTTCTGTGGACAGCACTAACAAGTATTCACCCAGCCTAGAACTGATGCACAAGCAAAGGCAATTTAGCTTGCTGAAGCATGATTCAAAAAACCCAGGCAGCTCGAAAGAAGAGTATGAAACTGCTTGGAGAAAGCAGAAACTGTATTCCCTTTTATGGAAGGAAACTTAGGATAATGTGCAGTCTCTAAAGCATGACAGAAAAGTGAAACAGTATGAAAGGAAGCTTGAGAATTATCTCATTTCTTAAGAGGAAGACATTTGGAAACTGAAGCATAATGAACTATTTATTGACAAGAGATTCCAGAGACTGGCAGGCTGTGTCTGCTCTGTTGAAAGTACACGTGAGCCTCTTGCAATACTATTAATGCTTCACATTTTCTTGTAAGTCAACCCTATAACCCTACAGAGGTTCCGTTAGACACTCCCCTGAAATTGGGTAGAGGCAATGTCAGAGTATGCCTGCGAGCACGAAAAATATATCCTGCCATCTAAAAATGTTCCAGAGGAATGGTGATTTCGCAGCGCCTGTCAGTTTGAAATCCTGCAGGGCCCGGCCAAGTGCTCCTCAGCCGTGTGACACGGTTCAGCGGGCTCTTTCCGCCGCACCGGTGACCCAGAGCCTCTTGCGGAGCACGAACCGGGAATCCACCCAGAACACTCACGGTTTTCTTCGCCATCCGCCACTCGCCGTCTCCGATGCTGTGGTACCGAAGCAGCGTGTTCCGCAGCTTCGAGGCCAGGGGCGCCGGATTGGGAAGGGGATCCATTTGCTTCCCACCCGCGCGAAGATGCCTAATCACACAGACACACAGCAGAACAAGGCACGGAGTCAGGGATGCCAACAACAGCGTGGATCTTCCAAACCCGAACGGAGGATGCGGAAAACACGGCCGCGCGCAAACAAGCACATCTCCCAGCCGGGTTCAGGTGGCGGCGAGCGGCTGTCACGGGCTCAGGCCGAGGGTCAGGGGCTCAGGCCGAGGGCCAGCAGCCGCCACCCCAGGGCCAGGCCCGTCCCGGGATCCGCGGAACGCGGGACAGGCGCGCTCCCCTCACGGCCGCGCCGCCACCCCGGCTCCGCCGCCACCCCGGCTCCGCGCTCACCCGCGGCCCGTCCGACAGCGCGCGATACCGGCAGCCAATCAGAGCGCGACCGCCCCGGCCGCGCAGCCAATGGCAGCGCGGTCCGCCGGGCGCGGGGCTGGGGAGGTCACAGCCACCGCGCGTCACGCGACCTCAGGACATGTCGGTGCTATGACGTCACGAGCCGGGGCGGAGCCGCGGCCCCGATTGGGAATGGTGGGGATGGCGTGAGGGAGGGCGGAGAGCCGGACCCGCAGCCAGCCCCGGCGCCTGCAGCGACAGCGCGGCTCCGCCTCGCTGGGGCAGCGCTAGAGCTGCTCAGCTCACGCCTGTCTGGCAATGTCGCTTTGTACTTTTGGCAGAGTCCCAGAATCAGCTGGATTGAAAGGGACACATCAGGATCATCGAGTCCGAGCTCCTGGTCCTGCACAGGACACCTCAGGAGTCACAGATGTGCCTGAGGATGTTGTCCGAACGCTTCTAGCACTGTGTCAGGCTGGTGCTATGGCCGCTGCCCTGGGGAGCCTGTTCAGTGCCCAAACAGCCTATGGGGCAAGAGCCTTTACCTGATACCCAACCTAAACCTCTCCTGACACAGCTTGAGGCCATTCCCTCGGGTCCTGGCACTGGGCACCACAGAGAAGAGATCAGTGCCTGCCCCTCCTCTTCTTCTCCTTCCAGTGAGGAAGTTGCAGACTCCAGCCAGGTCTGCCCTCGGTCTCCTCCAGGCTGAGGGTCCTCAGCCGCTCCTCAAGGGCTTCACCTCAAGGCCCTTCACCATCTCTGTGTCCCTTCTTTGAACAGTCTCTCGTAGCTTTAGATATTTTTTACATCTAGTTTCCCAGACTGCCCCAGGACTTGAGGTGAGGCTGCCGCAAGTCAGAGCATAGTGGGCAGACTGCAGACCCTTTCTAAGTTGGTGATGATGTTCACTCATGTCCAGCTTGCCATCCACCAGGATCCCCAGGTCCCTTTCCATGGTGCTGCTCTCCAGCCTCTCATTCCCCAGTCTCCCCATACATCCAGGGTTGCCCCATCCCCGGTACAGAATTCCTGCTGAACTCCACACAGCTGGTGATTGCCCAGTCCTTGGATTCATCGAGATCTCTCTGCAGGGCCTCCCTGCCTTTGAGGGAGTCAGCAGCTGCTCCCTGTCTTGTATCATCTGCAAATTTGCTGAGTCTCCCTTCCAGTCTTGCGTGCAGGTTGTTTATGGAGATGTTGAAGAGCACAGGGCTGAGGATGGAGGCCTGTGGAACCCTGCTAGTGACAGGTCACCAGTTTGATGTCACCCCAGTCACTGTCCCCGTTTGTGCCTGACCTGTGAGCCAGTTGCTCACTCATCATATGCTGTGTTTATCCAGGTGTTCAAAAGATCCACTACCTGTAATAGAATGGCCTTGTTAAGGTTTAAGGCTCAATGTACTTCACTGTTTAGGGGAAGGTTCAATGCTTAGACCTAGGGGAAGGTTGACAAAGCCTGGAAGAAGAATGTACTCTTGCAGAATGTGGAAAATGTAAAATTTTTTAAGAAGGGATGTTCTTTAATGTATTACCTTTTCATACTTTCAACAACAAGAAAGATTTAATTCCTGGAACAGAAAGCAGCCAACAAGTTCTAAGTGATATCCAGGTGTTAGAAAAACAAACTACTTGTTGGCAGAATTGTCTTATTAAGGTTTAGGGTTTGGGAGGCTACAATGATCTCAGACCTAGGGGACATTTGCAAAGCATATGGAGAAGAATATAACTCTGATGGTGGACATAAAGAATTTACAAGCCACAAGGACATCTGGCAGAATCCCCAAGAAAAGGAAGAAACTAATAAAGGAACTCAGCAACTGTGCTGAAAAAAGTAAGAAGTAATTCTGGCAGCAGGAGATGCAACCACCAACCCAAAAGAAAAAAAAAAAAAAAAGACTTGAGCATGCAGGCTAATTCACATAAGAATTGAGGGACTCAACCTATAGAAGATAGACTACTAATTTATAAGAGAACTATGCAACTTGTAGTCAATGAATATTAATTCCTATTTTTGCTAAAATGTATAAATAATAAAATGTTCTGGTAGTCGTGCTGCTGGCTTTGTGGATTTGTCACCAAGCCCCTGTTGCTGCACAGGTCTTTAAATAAATCAAGTATCTCCCTTCTGTGCATGGATTAGCCTTCTGCACACCACGTGCAAGAACATATTTGGGGACAACAGGGTTTCTTTACAGTGGCCATGTAAAAGCTCACACAGGCCTGCAGCTTTCCAGAGTCCTATGGATTTGCTGTTCAACTCAAGTGTGTCCTGCAAATGCTGTTGTGGTGGGCAGGAGCAGTGAAGGAAGATTCCCCAGGTCAGCATCCCCAGGTGGCTGTTAGCTGGGCTTTTGTCACAGCACCTGGAACTGAGAACAACATGTCTGTCCAGCCACAAAGGGCTTAAGGGTGGTGTAGGGCATGGTGAGTGACACATTGAGGTGAGAAAGCCTGAGACACTCCTGTCCAGTCAGCAGTGCTTGCAGCACAACTCAGCAGGATGCTGAGGAAGTGCTGAAGTTTTGCTTTGCTCTGTAAAACAGCAAGCAAACCACATTCTTCCTCCGAAAAGGCAGCACCTGCGGTCAGCTCACAGCTGAAGCAAATTCAAAAAATATAAGTGCTTGTTTCCTGCATACTTGCCTTGTTCACTGGGCATCATGCAGTGCAGCAAACACATTAGACAACGTCCACGTAAAAAGTGAAATCTCTTGTAAGGACAGGAAAAGAAGTAGATTAAAAAGCAGCTTATTAGAGTGGGAGGACAACAGATCTTTGTGTGGTAATATGTTGTTCACTTTGGCCAATGCTGGTTCCCAAAATGAATGTTTTGAACGTGGTTTTGTTTTCAATGCAGGGCTTTACACCAGGCTTTTTGAGCTGTCCCTAGTTCCCTTTGCAATTTATAACTCTTGGTCATTTTTCCCTAATTGAAAATGGGTCTCTAAACAAAGATCGTGCGAGCACATGCTAAATAAAAAATGAAGGTATTTTACATGCAATCCTTGAAATTTTACAATGCAGAATCAAAACAGAAGTTTTGCCTCGAAAACATAGTGACAATAAAGGAATGTACGTCCCTCACCTTCTTCAGATTGCTCTCTATTGTATTTCTCTGAGTGAAAAGGTGTACATTTAACCAGTCCCTGGCTGCTTTCTCCATTCTTTCTTGCCCTGTTACACTCCTTCAAGTCAAATGCTTTCATGCTTGCAAGCATGACATTCCTTCCCCATGGGCTATTATTAGCTTAAACCACCAGTTTGTAAGTTTGTTCATTTTTTAAAGAGGGAAATCTCCTCCTTGAAGGAGGGAATGACGAGTTTGCATTGGAAAATGCTGATGTTTTTAATAAAACCGTACTTGTATAAATGTCTTACATTTCCATGGACTGGCTGGATTTTAACAGAAAGTTGTTTGGTCTTTTAAAGCTTCTCTGGGAACTCATACATCAAGTTTCCTGAGTTTAGGAGATCTGTAAGCTTTCTGCAAAGTAATTTTATAGATTATAGATACTCAGTACTCTCATAGTCAACATTAATTTTATTATCTGGGCCAACAGAGTGCTTTCAAGGATTATAAACTAGTTCTTGTTCACAGTGAGGCGTTTCCATACCTTCTGGGTGTCTCGGCTGACAGAGCACTGTGTCAGTGAAGCATGTGAGATAACTGATGCAATGCTGAATATGTTTCCTCTGTTATGTTCCGTCATGAGTTACAGCAATACCTACAATGCCACCAGCTTGTGCCTATGTGAGAAAAGTGCTGTGAGAAAACGAATGTTAAATACTGCCAACAACACCACAGCTGAGCTTTTGCTGCTCCGTCCTGCTGGTCTCTCTGGCCCTTCTCTGCGCAGTAGGTCCTGAACCACTCCCACATTACACCACAGCTGTGTCATGCCTGAGGTATGCAGTATTCCTGTGGAAAAACATCTATTCCTCTTGTTACATAACACCTTGATGGGTGAATTTTAATTATCATAATGGGACCTGTCAAAAAGCCCAAAACACCTCTGCCCCTCAACTGGAAAATAAATAGAGAAAATAATTTTCTTTCTGGAAACATCCACATTCCCCTCTACATTTGTCTTATGATGCCTGGTATTTCATATTAGAAATCTTGCTGTTTGGAAAAGTGGGAGACTAGCTACTGGCATTTAATTTTGGTTACCAGTGCCTAGAAATGGCTTTGATCACTGAAGGCGCTCCTCCGTAGAATGTGTAACAATCTTGCCTGGTTTTCAGACACAAGGAACTGTGTACATAATTCTAATGTCTTGCAAGTCATTTTACCAAAGAATTTTACCAAACATATTGGACGAAGTTCTGCTTTTGTAGCAAAGGGTATAGAACTACTAATACATGATAAGCTCACTCATATATGACATTCAGCAGGCTAGTTCCAATCCAGAACAGTACCCAAATTATTTAACTAGATGAAACCTTAACTCTAGCTGTTGGAAGAAGAGCAAATGGCACTCAGTTACGTCATTAAAATTATTCTGACCTAAGGAGGTTCCCCCCTAATGCACCCACTCCTCTTGGGCTCCTGCCTGCTCCAGGGAACCACGTCAAGGTGTGGCCTCTCCCCAGCACCACTCTGGGAGCCGCAGGAGAGGCGCAGCGCTCACGCTGCAGCAGGGGCGGTCTGTCAGGGTGAGACAAAAGGCTCCGTGAGAGACCTTTCACGGTTCCGATGAGGAGATTTTATTAGGGAGATGGAATAACGTCCGGGTTTGAAGAGAGAGAACCGCAAAAAGCTCCTCGACAGGCTTTGCACAAACGTAAATACGGCGGAGGTGCAAGGGCAGGGTAATAACTTTGGCCAATTGCGGTGAAT